AACTGCTGCTGGCCACGGTGCCCGCATGGGTCCCTCTTGTCTCCTGCATGTCGAGGTGTCAGTTTTGCGTGCGTTCATCACCGCGCCTGCTCCCCGCGAGCACGGACCTGCGGCACGGCGCTGGTGAGAAGGTGGGAGAGCGGCCGGTCCCTGTCCCCAGCCGGCGGGGACAGCCGTGCCCTTCGGCAGGAGCTGGCTCCTTCCCACCCGGAGCTGCTGGGTGCGAGGGGATGGCGGGGAGTGAAAAAAATACAGCAAACTGCCATTATTTGCTGGTTTCCCAAAGAAACGGGGCTTCTGTGACTGTGCCGCGTCTGTCTGCTGGTCCCCGCCACCAAACGCTGTCCCCTGGAGCCCTCCCGGTCCCCCGCGGTCGTGTCGGAGGTGCTGGGTGCCGAGCTCCGGGCGCCTTTGGGACCGGGGAGGAGAGGGCAGTGCTGGACGGGCAGCAGCTCTGCGCGCCTGAGCTGTTTTTTTTTTATTTTGCCACAGAGCACAGTTTTTTTTTTTCATTTTCCCACCTCCTCCCCTTAATTGCACAGAGAGAACGAGCTCCCCAGAAAAGCTGCTTAAGCCGTTCCCTTTGGGGTCCCCGTCCCGCCTCCCCCAGCTCTGGGAGCTCCCCGGCGCCCGTGGGGCACCACCAGCTGCCCACCAGCTCGCGCCTGGGGCTGAGTCCGTACCCCCGCTCCCAGGGGACGACCTCGTCCCCCAGCCCGGGGCAGGACCTGGAGAGCCCTCATCCTGCCCGGGGCACCGGTGGGTGCCAACTGCCCCGGTTCGGCCGCGGGGACCGGGAGGGCAGTGGCTGTGGGAGCCCCCGGGGTGCTGGGCCATAGGGTAGCGGTGCGGGGGCTTTAGGGGGCTCCGGGTGCCCCAGCTGGGGGACGTGGCGCTGGAGGGGAGCAGGAGCGATGGCATCCTCCAGCGAAATGGCTGCTCGGGCTCCTGTGACGCCTGCTCAGCCCGTTAACCCTTCTCGTCCCGCTTCCCTCTCTGCCCGGAGGCTGGGGCCATCCCGGTCTGTGTCCGGCAGAGGGGAGCCCCTGCCGCGGCCCACCCGTACGACCCCTGGAGCACCGAGGTGCCGGAGGAGCTTTTCCCGGGAGGTTTCCGTGAAGGCAGGACCGTAACGCTTTTCCCTGGTCTCCACCGGCACCAGCCCCTGGCGCTGTTAGACCGAAGGGTCCTGGGGTTGGGGTGAGCGCACAAGGGGGTCCCCCAAGCCCCGTACATCCCCGCACGTGGGTCTCCCACCCGTCCCTGGCCAGGATTGGGGTCCCGGTGTGGGTGGCCGGGTCCCCTCCCCGCACCAGGCGCTCGCCCCACGGCCCGGGCTCCCGGCCCTCCGGTGTCACCAGGTGTTTGCTGGAGGGAGAAGGGGGGGCCCAGCAGCACAGCGCGAGGGCGGGGGGAGAGACACCCCCTTCCCCAGCCCCGACGTGCCGCCTGCGGGGCCGCGAGCCTGGGGGGCGGCAGGGATGCGGTGCCCGGCTGAGCGGGGCAGCCCGCGGGCTTTGGGCTCAGGGCTCCCACTGGGCTCGGTGCTGGTGCCAGTACTGGTGCTGGGGCCGACGCTGGGGCTGGGGCCAGGGCTCAGTGCTGGTACTGGTGCTGATACTGGTGCTGATGCAGATACTGGTGCTGGTGCCAATGCCGATCCTGAGACCATTGCCGACGCCGATCCTGAGACCATCGCCGATGCCAATACTGGTGCTGTGGCTTTGTGCTGGTACCAGTGCCAGTGCCGATGCTGACACTGGTCCCAATGCTGATACTGGTGCCAGCACTCAGTGCTGATGCCAGTGCCGATACCAGTGCTGATGCCAATCCTGACACTGGTGCGGATGCCAATACTAGTGCCAGGGCTCATTGCCAATACTGGTGCCAGTGCCAATGCTAATACGGGTGCCAGCGCTTGGTACTGATACTGGTGCCAGTGCTCATATCAGTGTCGACGGCCGTGCCAGTGCTCATATCGGTGCCGACAGCCATGCCAGTGCTAATACCAGTGCCGATACCAGTGCTGATGTCGATCCCAACACTGGTGCTGGTGCCAATACTGGTGCTGGGGCTTGGTGCCAGTGCCCACACCAGTGCCGATGCCCATGCCAGCGCTTATGCCAGTGCTGGGGCTCAGTGCTGGTGCTGATACTGGTGCCAGGAATCAGTGCTCATACCGGTGCCAGCACCCGTACCAGTGCTGATGCCCGTGTCAGTGCTAACGCCAGTGCCGATATCAGTGCCAGGGCTCGGTGCTGCTACCGGTGCTGGTGCCCATACCGGTGCCGATGCCTGTGCCAGCGCTTACACCGGTGCCAGGGCTTGGTGCCAGTGCTGATACTTGTGCCAGCGCCCATACCGGTGCCGATGCCCATGCCAGTGCCAATACCAGTGTCGGTACCAGTGCTGATGTTGATCCTGACACTGGTGCTGATGGCAATACTGGTGTTGGGGCTCGGTGCTGGTGCTGATATGGGTGCCAGGGCTTGGTGCTGATACTGGTGCCGGTGGCCACGCCAGTGCTGATGCCCATGCTGGTGCTTATACCAGTGCTGGGGCTCGGTGCTGGTGCCGATACTGGTGCCAGTGCCCATACTGGTGCCAATGCCCATGCCAATGCTGATACCGGTGCCATGGCTCGGTGCTGGTGCCAATGCTGGTGCTGGTGCCCATGCCGGTACCTGTGCTGGTGCCGGTAGTGGTGGTGGAGTGGCTGGGGCTGCTGGTGCCAGTGGCAGGGCTCAGTGCTGGTGCCAGGGCGGCCGGGGCTGCTGGTGCTGCCGGTGGTGGCGGGGCGGCCAGGGCTGACAGTGCCAGGGCTTGGTGCCGGTGCCGGTGGCGGTGCCGGTGGCAGTGCCAGTGCTGGTGCTGGTGGCAGTGGCGGGG